TATAAATATAAGTGATGGTCGACCGCATATCATGACCCACGATAAGAAGCGACATAAAGTAATCCTGATATAGGTTGGTATAACTAGTCAGCACAGGTTGACTACAGTCGAGATCAAGAAAAACCGAAAATATGATCTGCTGGCTGGTAAACATGCGTCAGAGATGAAATACAGAATCGAATTAATTCCGTATGTGATGGCTTGAGATGGGTACAAAATACATAATGAACTTCCATAAACGTTGAGTAAAGGAGGTCAGTATATCTGATGACATCAAGGCATATATTTGATGATAGTACTCAATCAGATGCTCAAAAGCACTTAATTTGATTACCGCGATGGATTCCGTAAAGATGGAGCAAAAGAGATTAGTACAACAAATCTGAGACAAGTACAATCAGAGTGCCGATCCAGTGCCAGATTCAGTGAAGCGGAAAGAAGACTAACCTCCATATTTTCTTTTCTTTATATATATATTTGTATATCAGAAAAGATAGATTTTTTCTGAAGATTTTCTGTTATAGGAAAAGTGGGATTCACTTGCTTTCCAACCAGATCTTATATTTCTTCTAGGATGCCCTCTTGCCTACCTTTTGATTCAGCGGAAATTTTATGGATATGGTTTGTATTTTGTCTTCATCAAATTCTTAACAAGTTTTGAAAAAATTGTAATGAGATTTGAGTGGATCTGGCATTTGGAACACTTGTCATATGGTATCTGTGTATTTCAACTTAAAATTTTGCTTTCTCTTGGCTTCATTAAATATTTGAATTAACATTCTAATGTAAACTTTTCAACATCTGAATTCAGAACATGATTCGAGAATCAAATCTTTTTTTCGTCTCTAAAATTCAGTTTATTTTATGTGTGTTATTTACTTAGTAATATTGCTGTGACATTATTGTTAATTTTACTAATTTTTGGTTAGTTTCTGTAATTGATAGCTTTTAAATTTTTAGATAAATAAAAATAGATTTGAGAAAAAGAATTATTTCTAATCAGTTTTATTTTGCTTGCAGAAACTAAATCATTAAGATGCAATCAGCTGTTTAATTTGTATTATTCGTTAGATGCATGTGGTGCACGGCTTGAACCAGTATTGAATCCTCAGCTTACAATGTTATTACCTGTAAATGTTCCTCGTTTTAATGATTTTACTACAGCTGACAAAGATTGTGATAGGTAATTAATTGTGACTGTATAGTACTTTACAGTTTAACGTATCGTTTTTCGCGTGATTCGTGCAAAATATTTCATTTATTCTTAGTGTCGTAGTGGTTACAAGAAATTTCATTTTTAGTATCTTAAATATGTGATACTGAAAAGCTTTGCACAATACGTGATATTGATGAGCTTTGCTGTACATGTTGATATTTAACCGATAACTTTGTATTCAAGAAAATGAATTTGGACGTAACTTGTGGGTTTAATTTTACTTTCTTAAAATTGATTTTTCTTTCCAGTATCATAAACTCTTCATTACTTTGGAGTAACCAACGAATCGATCAGATTCTGCACTGTCCCTATGGTATTCCATTGCCAAAACTCCTTCATGCATCTTACTGGGAAAGTGACGATGTAGCTGCTTTTATTCTCAGGTTAATCTTTTATCTTTTTTCTACAATTTCTATGTTATACTACAGTAATGCCTTGAATTCGGTTTTATCGACAATTAAAATAAAAATTAGCACTTGATTAAGTGATTACGCACAATACGTGATACTGATGCGCTTTGCTCTACATTTTGATATTTAAATAATATTTTTGTACTCAATAAAAATAGGTCATTAAGATTTGAATGTAACTTGGGGGTTTAATTTCACCCCTTAAAATTGATTTTTTGAAAAAAAAACCATTTTCCTTATGGATACTTTTATTATTCGACGTTTCTATTTCTTTTTGACATTTAACTCATCGAAATTAGAGTTATTTAAGAGATTCTTGTTGATAGAACGTAAGCAGTAGAGTGATTATAAGGATTCTATTATAATATTTTTAATAATTTAGTCGTTATTGTTTATTGATTATTGTCTATTTGTAAAATTCATTTGAGAATATATTGATCAAGCAATTCAATCGTACTATTGAACGTTTTTCAAAACTTTATTTATATAATATTCGTGAGGATGGTAGTGCATTTGAAAACACTCTTGTTATTTTACCAATATTTCGAGTAATTAATAAATATCAGCAGATTTGTGAGTGGTTGACTTACTGTTTCAGGCAATTTTTTAATTCAGAAAAGGTTTCTCCTGGAAAGTTTGGAGATACGACCGCATTTCCACTAGAAGTAAATCTTAACCCGCCAGTATGGAATAAAAAGCGAACCAAATACAAGGTTTTTATAAAATCATCGCACGGAATGCTTACTGTTTTTCATGAATGCTTTGAAATTATGATATTACTTCCATTGAAAAATAAGCTTACTGCCTGTTATGTTATTGATAGTTAAATTTTTGAATATTTGTAACTTGCAGATTGCTAACTTGTCACCAAATTACAGTGGAAATGATGTTATATGTATAGAAGGGATGGAGCAAGTGATTCATGCGCGATTTTGTTACGGACCAATGGATTTAGTAGCGTTAAGTCGTGAGTATATTTCTGCGTATGTACGACCATTTGGTGGTGATTGGCAGTTGATTAAAACAGATATGACTGATTCACACGGCAAAATTGCATTTCAGGCTTGTTTAGCTGCGCTTATTTTTGTGTTTTTCAATTTTCCAGAGAAGCAAAAATAGTTAATTAGCAAATTGAATTCCATTTTTTCTAGTCCAGCTTGATTTTAAAAAAGTGGTCTTAAAAGTGGTTCTTGCTGATTTGTCTTTTTAAAATATCATTTATGCATTTCTTTCCTTAAAAAACTTATCTTGGAATGATTCAAAATGTATTTATCAGTTTTATTTATTTCATATTATAGCTTGGAAATAAACTTCCGATCGGCGCACACTGTGTCAAGTCGATTGTGCATGGGGATCACTCTTTTCTTGATTTGTTCCTCGTTGTTGCCCCAGTCGGAGAAGAATTCGTGGTGTTTAGTGTTGACGGATCCCTTACGAGTTCAATGTCTGTTACTGGACGTGATCCGCGAGTAAGACCGGGTGCTGTCGATGTAGTGCGCTATTGGCATGATTTGGTTGGTTTATATACCTTATGTAATAATGAAAAGCATTCAGATTTTGTCAACATTCATCGAAGGTAGAAAAGTGAACTTGATGAGAATTTTTGTCTGCTTTTATTAATACGAGTTATTAATAATAAAATGTTAATAAGTCAGTTTAGCTCAGTTTAGTTTAGTCACTTTGTTAACTCCAAGCATAAATACATGTTATTTTCAGGGCTATACTATAATCTACATCACGGCGAGACCAGATATGCAGCACAGAGTTGTAGCTTTATGGCTAACACTTCATAATTTCCCTCAAGGGCTCTTAATTTTCACTCCATCATTTTCAACTGATCCTCTGAAGTACAATTTGCATATGTATAGTTTTATTAATATATTAGATTTTTCGGAATTATCATGTGATTGAAAGTAGATCATTTGTAGTAGCTTCATTTAACTATAGAAACATATATGTATAATTTGATTTTCAGACAAAAAGTTCTTCATTTAAAAAGCTATTTGGATATGGGTTTGCATATAACAGCTGCGTACGGAAGTAGCAAGGATGTTTCCGTGTACAATAACGCTGGGATGAAATCGGAGCGAATATTTTCAGTAACAGGAGGAAAACGAAGCTGCACAAACATTGATTCATATGCATCACATTTAAAAAGTCTAAATGAAGGAATGTTCGACTTTGCAAAACCATTTGATTCATCGCTTATCTTTCCTTACCCGAGCCCAATGGGTCGTAATAATCGCAGGTTAGAAGAAGGCAATTTGCCTTTTCATACGTCTTTCGGAGCTAAATTATGTGGGAAGGAAGACAAATTTCATCTCATGCATGTTGAAAATAGGAAAACTTCAATGATGGCACTCCAGCCGAACATTTGTAATTCAGTGCTTCACTGCTTTAGAAATAATAGTGATTGATAAGCTCAAACAAAGTGCTGTATTCAGCTTTCATTTTATTTTCTTGCTAAAATCTTACTATAGTATTTATAATATTTTTCAGGAATATTATGCAACGAAATCATTCTTTTACACCACGCAGTGGGCGGCAGTTATCTGATAATATCTAAGTATTGCCAACTAGTTGTGAATCATTAGATTTTTGCTCTTGTATGATCTCAGTAAATATCCCGCAGACATATCTACTCTTTTTAATACCGATGTCGATGGACCTCCAAACTATAAACATTCGTTTCAGAAGCCAATTTTCATCAAAAGGAGAATACAATAAATGATTTATGGTTTCTTCATTTTGCAGTGATAAATTATGCAGCCATTGAGTTGTGCTTGAATCAAGCTTCTGCTCAATGAATGCATTATAATCATATTTGCCATAAGATATATGGATAAAAAATTTGTCATTTGTCGGAAGCTAAAAAAGTGGTGATTTGCTTGTGCTGGCAATCGAATTAGTGCAATATAAATTTCATTCAAAACATTAATTATTATTGCAAGCAACTTTACGAAGTGATGGTTGCGATGAGCAAACAATTCAGTAACACAAATGCTAAAAACTGGAACAAAATACAGATAATTGAGGTCAAGTACAATGCAGATGAATATTGAAACATTTATTTTGTTTTCACTAGTTGAGTTTATTTCAATAAACTTTTAACTGATAAAAAGCAAAATTCTAAATTCTGTAAAACACGTAGTAGGGATCTCCAATTATGAATGTATTTGCACCATCCTGAGTTCAGGAACTTTACTCATCCTGAATTGATAAGTTTAAGGGGTTCTCGATAGCATGTGAAAAGAATTTCGAAAGAACACAGGACGGACTATTCATTTAAAGACACTCCTCGAGCAAGCTTTA